AGTCCACCATGTTTCCTTACGAGATGATGGTGACGACTTAACACCGTCCCATAGACTTTTCTGAGGTCTGAGGTAAAAAAAAAAAAAAAATAAAATAAATACCGGTTTGCCTCCCTATCTCTTGTTCCCGTACAATATCTAAGAACGTAACTCGGAAATTGCCGGAGGTGCCGAAGCCCAGCTGTGCCAGGAGAGCTGGCTGCTCTTGGCAGTGGGTGTCAGCAGCATGTGCAGGTTGACTGGGAGTGCTGGGGAGGACAAGCTGCATTAGCACCGTCATGCTTTCTGAGGTGGCCTGGCAAACAGTTTGTCCTGGACGATGTTTTCGCTGAAACCCATTTCGTGAAAGGTCCTGCTGCAGCCCTTGACAGCAGTTTGAACTTCTCCGTCGCACTCTGTGGTGATGAGTCTAATGACATCAAGTAGAAAGAATATACCCGCCGTAAGATTTTTATAGTAGGTATCCGTGTGTCAGAGAGGATAAATGAAATGTACAAGAGGTTAATTCCCAAGGGTTTTTCTTTTTAAGTCCTATAATTTGCAGGTAATAAAGACATTAATTTTATCTTAGCCTGTAAAGTAAGAGCAGACCTTTCAGTATCACTTAAACACAGGATTATCATAAGTGTAGCAGACTTTTTGTAATGGTTGAGCATTCCTTCCAGTTGTAGCTTCCTGTGAAGTTGCCATAAAATCTGTGTATTTGCGCTAAGTGGGGGTGGGGAGCCTGTACACTGCTCTCCAAAAACGCTGCTTCGGTGTCATGTTATCATCTGCTTTTAGACAATACGGTATTTTGGGGGACTGTTGTAGTACAACTTCGATGTTCTCAAGTACAAAAATAAACTAAAAATAAACAGAACATAAAGTTGGTGATTAACTTTTAAATGGATGTTGGTCGTGGACAGACTTAAAGAAACAGCTCTCTGCACCGGTTGAGCTAGCAGAGCTGAGATATAAAATGAAATAAAATTCACAGAGAAGAAAGATCAGCAAGAATTTGCAAAACAGTCACCACGGAGCCTATGTACTACTAATAATTTTTTTCACTTGAGAAGCAGTTTTGGAAGATGGTGGTGAAAGACAAATCAAAGACGTGGAATTGAAATGAGCTATTGATCCAACACTCTTCAAAACACCTGAATGCTTTTTAGGTTGTTGGTCATCATATTTTAGATGACTGTATGCCATAGCTGACGTTAAGGGTCAGAAGGGTTGCTTTAAGTGGAAAGAGGTCGCATTCTTGGAAAAACTGCTGTTCTACTGTAACAGCAAGATGAGTTTACAGGAAATGTGCAATTTTTTTACTGTAAAAAAAGACTGTTTAATTAAAAGATATTGTAAAAAGATATTTTCTACGGAGAAGGACCTTTTCACAGAATTTCATCTTTTAAGTATTGCATTTTGTTCATCTCTGAAAAAAAATGTACCGGGGAAACATGAGTTAAGTGTGTGTGCGGAGTTAAGAGCACCAGACATAACTACATTAGCAACAAAACCTGTAGTCATTAGAGTTGTGGTTTTTCTTAAACTCAAAATTGTTCAGGTTCAAATCCCACGAAGGCACTCATTAACTATGTGTGAAAGTAGGTTACATGCATTAATGTATAGATATGATTAAGCTTTTTTTTTTTTTTTTTTTTTAAGCTTACTCATCTTTTCTCCTTGGGCTTGCAAGATGTAAAGAACCAAAAATACATGTACCTAGTTCTTGTATGGCACATTAAGAAACACATTTGTATTACCTACCTTTGCAGAGCCTAATTTTTACCTGCTGTGTATCTCTCTTCTTTTTATCACTCCAGGATCTATCTCTTAGTCCAGCTGGTCTTCACGTTGGGTAGAATTGGTCAGGTAGGTTGCCTGTGTTGGAGCACTACGTTTCCAGCCCAAAGTAATGTTTCAGTGGCTCTTATTGGAGGTAAAATTAATCTCCAGCCTGTACCTAGTCTATGCAAGTCCTGTTTATCTTGAGTGTTGGTTTTTCAAATAAAATCATTGGTTTAGGTTTGTATATGAAGAATTACTGCAGGAGGCTCAAGAGTTTTACGTCGTTGTGTTTTGAGGGTAGATGATTCCAAAGCGTGCTCTGGTACCAGAGGCTGTTACACTCTCCAAATGCCAATTGATTTGGGACACTCTCATTTGAAAAATTCCAATATAAAGCTCAGAAAAATCCATTAACTAATTTCAGAAATAAAACTTGGAAGAAAAATGAGTAGATACGTATAACGTACTCAGCAGCGAAGGAGTGGAAATATGAGTTGGCGTGGTGTTTTCTGTATCTGGCTGTGTCATTATGTATTGTGGCTGTGGGCAAGTCAGTGGGTGAGTTCAGAAGCTGTGTAGGGTTTGCACGAATGCTTAGTTTAGGGTGTGAGTAGGAAAATAAGCAGGCATGGGCTTTCTGAGGGGGTGGTTGGGTGTGAGCAGAGTCTGTGTGTGCTGAGGGATTTGTGCAGCCGCAGAGGGGGGAGGGTTACCTGCTTTTTAGTTTTGCATGGCAGCTGTTTGGCTGACTGGTTATGAGTAGGACACTCATAAATTATAGTCATGTGGCTTCCCTCTAGTTATTTGGCGACTGGATTATCCATGCTGCTCAAAAATGGTAGCTTCAGCTGGGAGAGGCCGAAAGACATGAAGGGGATGCAGAAACACATGGAAGTGTTACTGGTGTCATGGGTCCCATCTGCCTTTCTTGTTCATAGGCTAGCTTTTTCAAGTACAGGGAAAAAAAATAAATGCCCATTTCATGAATAAATTTTCAGTCTGTGGGACCAGTAGGAGTTTTAACTTTTGTGGTAGTTCGATTCTTGAGGTCTTGCCTTGACTGCTTAATGCCAAGTTGCTTGCCTTAATGCCAAGTTGCTTGTAGTTCTCTGAGGGCAGCCAGATCTGGGGTGGTTGTGTGAATTCCTACAGAAGTGCCTTATATGTACAGGTTTATCTAATCCCTCTGTGTGCCCCTGGAGCAAATCCTGTCATTTACAAAACACAGAAGTCTTCCTGCATATCTCTCAGATCTTGTGGTATCACTCATAAATTATAGTCATGTGGCTTCCCTCTAGTTATTTGGCGACTGGATTATCCATGCTGCTCAAAAATGCTTCAGCTGGGAGAGGCCGAAAGACATGAAGGGGATGCAGAAACACATGGAAGTGTTACTGGTGTCGTGGGTCCCATCTGCCTTTCTTGTTCATAGGCTAGCTTTTTCAAGTACAGGGAAAAAAAATAAATGCCCATTTCATGAATAAATTTTCAGTCTGTGGGACCAGTAGGAGTTTTAACTTTTGTGGTAGTTCGATTCTTGAGGTCTTGCCTTGACTGCTTAATGCCAAGTTGCTTGCCTTAATGCCAAGTTGCTTGTAGTTCTCTGAGGGCAGCCAGATCTGGGGTGGTTGTGTGAATTCCTACAGAAGTGCCTTATATGTACAGGTTTATCTAATCCCTCTGTGTGCCCCTGGAGCAAATCCTGTCATTTACAAAACACAGAAGTCTTCCTGCATATCTCTCAGATCTTGTGGTATGTTCCTGAGCCTGAGAAAAGAAGGATCCTCAGAAAGAGACTGCCATAGGACAAAGTGTGGTTTGGCTCAAAAGTGATGTTGCTGTGCATCTCAGAGAAGTTAAATTCAATCCAGGTTAGCTCTTGATTTTCTCTTCTGTGACAAACCAGCCAGAAGCCTGCACTTTTTTGTTCTGGCAATTGCCCTAATGTAGATGCAATTCTATTGCCCTGGTTTAATTTATTTAGTTTGTGAGCCTAGGGTAAATTACGGTGCTGTAAGAGTGCTTTCATGAGAATAAACCAGGCTTGCACTACTAAGTTTGGCGTAAGTTGTAGCATGTACCCACAAACCTTTTATAGGATAGATTTGGTCCAGGTATTCCTGGTATCCTCAACAGCAGCAGCAGATGTTCTCATCCCAACAGATCTCTCACTGCCTGGCATGAGTCGTTCCTGGCCAGCTGAAACTTGCAACTCCTAATATTTTGCTAGTTTACTGTCTGCTTGCCTGTATCGCAGGGAGCATGTGGGAACTACCTTAACCAAGAGGATATTTAAGCTCAAATTCTTAGATTAACGATGTTGTTATGCAGGGACTATGCTGCTGTATTAGAACTTAAGTTAAGACGTTTTTGTTACCTCAGCAAGTTTTGTCTTTGGTTTTCACGCATCTGTGTGAACAGATTACAGGTGGGTGTTTGTATTCCATACTGTTCCCCAAGGCTTTTCTAACTTAGTAATGGACCAGTATCCGTATTTTCATCTTTTTCCAGATAAGCGTAATATAGCTAAACAAAAACAGAAATATAAAATTAAGTTCACATTATTTTCCATTTACTTGTAAATAGCTGTGCATCTTGTGAATTGGTTTTGGTCAGAAATAACCTGACAGCATTTGCATCCTCTCACTGGTGCTGTTCAACCTTCTCATGTCCCTAAAACATTGCAGACCTCGTAGGACCCTTTTACAGCCACAAAACCTCTCTGCCAGTGCCAAAACAGATTTTTGTGGATGTGTCCCCTCTCACTGAACGCCTGTCCCTTCCCCTGCTTGCTGGCACTTGGAGCATTTTGAGTTGGGGTGAAATGGTGAGAAGGCAGTCTCCTGAGACATGACCTTGTGCAAGTGTGTCTGTGAGCATCCCTAGGTGCTGGTATGAAAAGTGGGATGGGATGTCCGTTCTGCAGCGCACTGAAAAGGTGCAACTTGGCAGTTTTTGTTACGCTTGTTAGACAGTGAACGTTATAGAGCAAGGCAAGGTATAAGCCAATGCGTACCGGTAGCTTCTGATCCTTATTTCCTCATACCCAGTATTTTATTAATATTTATAGAGAGCTTTTATAGTGTTTTAAAACTTTTCCTATTTGGGACCAGTACTGAAGTCATGAATACAAACCACTGCTGAAACAGGGAGATATTTGGTGGTCAAGACACTGTGCTCTCAAGTTCTGGTTTAATCAAACCACGCTGTGTTCGTGCCAGGTCTTGTTCCCTCTTCACTGGGCATGCAGGGCAGCGTTGTGGTAGCTGCTCTATCAAGGAGGGCTCTAAAGCCATGTCATCCTCGAGGTTTCTTAGGAGAAGTTTGTTTCTGACAGTCTCCTGGGAACTTTACAGGCTGCCCTGGCAGTAGGAATTCAGGAAGAAATCAGGCCAGACGTTGCCTCCAGACTTTTAAAGCTGTTTTTTTTTAATTAGGCATAGTTCTGTGTTGGTTTTATTTTTTTTAAACGAACATAAAATGTCACCTGTGATGTTTTAGTGATAAATGAGTTGTAAAGTCTCTGTAACTTTGAGAAGCAATAAATCAAAATAATTGCCTTGTCCAGAAACTCTACCTGGCATAACTCGCGAGAAGTGCCTAAATGCGTGTTACGTTTGGATAAGTAGTTGAGGGGCAACAGCTATAAAGGTATGTTAAAAGTCTATGGTTTAAAAAGGGATTTAAAAATCACTATACCAGGCTTGAATGGGGAGTTGTTAATTATATTCCTGCTCCGACAAGCCCCTAAAGATGGCCTGAAGGGAGGAAGCAGTAAGGCTCTTACCCAGCTCAAAATAGTAAGAAAGTACAGTTGGGCTGCTCTTACATGTCAGGCAAGGGGAGAACTGGAAATCGGAGCATCTTGTTTACGCAGGAGAAGTTGAGATGAAATTTCTTGGCCTTTCTTTGTATCTAAAGACGCGCAGTTCATCTGCGTGCCTGATGTCAGAGGCGAGTTGGGGTGGAAGGAGGTGTGGCAGGATGGAGCTGCTTGGGATGTCTGGGTAATTTATACTCTTTAGGTTGCCTGTACACCTGCAGTAATTGCTGTGTTTGGCAAAGCTTTTATTGTTAAAAGAACCTTTTTTTATTAACTTTTTTTCTTGCATGCTTTAAAATGTCTTTTGTGGCTGGAGCAAGGCTGTTCTGAAAGTGCTCACATGTCTGGAGAAAGATCTGAAGTTGATGATCTGGTCCAGAAGATCTGGACCTCTTGACTTGTGTTTTGGTTTTTTTTTTTTTGTTTCTTTGAACCTGTTCTGTTTACATTGGTCTCAGGTGCAGTTATACAAAAGGAACTTCTTCCTCCTGTGGACTGAGCAATGTGAAAACTAATGATATTAAAGAATTTGTTTCTTCACTCTCTGTTCAGACCTCTTATTTCATATATTGTACAAAGCTTTCTCTCTGTCCTGGTACTGAGTTCCAGTGTAGCATTACCTATATGTATGGGAGTCTCCAGTCTCCTATTTGTCTCCTGTTGCCACTGCTTAATATTTCAAAAAAAAAAAACCCAAAATTGCTGTTATGGACAGCTCCAAAATTGCTTGTTGCCAGTCAAAGACATGCGTTCTTATACCATGTAGTTAGTGGCTGGTTTGTGTCCTCAGGCATGTTGGTTTACATCTCCTGAACAACTTTAATCTGCCTAGTGCAGCTCTTGTTACTGTTTATGGACACAGTACTCTGAATTGCAGGCTCTTGGCTCTTCCTTCACGTGCTGGTGAAATCCACACTCTTTGTTTCTTATTCCTCTTGGCCGTGTCTTCACTTTCCGTGACAGTCTTGCAGATCTCCGTTTTCCAGCTCTCAGCATGTCCAGAGTTCTGGTGCCTTCCTCCGCTGGATTCCCAAAGAAACACAGTGCTCATCGCATCTTCCAGCTGTCCCACGATACTACTCATGCACTCGTAATTTCGTCCACTCAACTTCATACTTACCAGTGGTTACGAAAATCTTTCTCTGAGACTGATGATCACTTCTCCTGTGTGCTTTAAGAATTAAGTGAGGTATAAAAACCTGATTAAACCAAGTTTTCTTAGGAGGTTCATTGGTGTTTTCCAAATACGATTTTAGTAAGT